TCCCCGCCTCTGCCCTCCCCTCCCCCACCCCTCGCTCCCTCCCTGACGGCCAATGGAGGCCTATCACGCCGCGATACACCCCCTCATTTGCGCGGGGGACGGACAGAGGTGAGTGGAAGAAACGAAGGGGCAGGGGCAAAGAGGGCGCACAAGATCCAAGTGCGATGTAGGGGGGTCGTTGACGACGTGGCTGCACATTGACGACTTCCCCCCCTTTCTCTCTCTTTTTCCCTTCTCTCTCCTCCCTACAGGCGGGGGCTCCTATGCCCCGGTCCACACCCTCCCGCCCGGCGTCAATCTGACCCTCTCCCTCCTCGGACTGCACACGGACGACCGCTTTTACCCCTCTGCGTCCTCCTTCGTTCCAGAGCGGTGGCTGGAGCAGGCGCGGCGGGAGGAAGGGAAGGAGGAGGGGGGAGGGCGGCAGAATTCTTTCGCGCTCTTGTCGCCCTCCTCTTCGTTTATGAGGAGGCTGCTGGTACGACCTGCGGAGGAGGAAAAGGTTGCTCGCAAGGAGGAGAAAAGCGCGCCTCAGGATCAGCAGAAGCGGAACGGTCTCAAGCCCCCACCCTTGTCGTTGGAAGCGATTGCGGAAGGGCTGGAGGGAAGGAGGGAGGAAGGGACGGAGGACGAGGAGGAGGGAGAGGAGGACGAATACCAGCGGTTCGTCCAGGTGAAGGTGTTGACGGCAGTCCTGCTCCTCGTGCAACGGTACAAGATACTGCGGGCGAACAAGCGGCGCGGGCAGGAGAATAAGGGGGTGGAGAAATGGATCCAGGAGCATCTGGACGGGAGGAGGCAGTGGAGAGTGCGTCTGGTGCCACGTGACGACGGGCGGGTCTGAGACAAGAGAAATATCGGGGCGAGAGGGGCCCTGACGGTGCGGAGGAGACGTCTCGAGTCATGTGCCTGACATGCCGGAAGAGAGCTCGAGGGGGGTTTCAGAGGGAGGGCCGGCCAGCCATGCATGATGCTGGCAGTGTAGATAGAGGAAGAAGGGGTTAGAGACACCTGGGAAGCAGGAGTACAGACATCTTTTCGCGGCGGACGAGAGGAAGCAGGGGAGAAGATGCGGCGGCGAGATGAAGTGCCGCGAAAAGGGGAAGGCTTTGTGACACAATCACTGGGTTTTTTGTTACATGCTACATTGACGAGGCTTTGACATGTTCGCAGGGATGATGCCTGCGGGCGAGAATTGGACGATGGAAAGGGGGAGTCTGTTGTGGTTGAGTCACCACAATCATGCGCTCTTCTGACCCTTGACCGCTTTTCTTTGATTTAATGGAAAGGAAAGTACTATGGAATGAAAGAGGAGGGAATGTTGAGGTATTTCGAAGCATGCAAATATGCGTAATAAATGGATGATGCACAGAATACGGTACAAATTGTCGATATGCCTTGGGCACCGGCTGTCCACACTGCACGTTTGCATCCAACAAGATCGTAAGGATTGGCTCAAAAAAGCTTTACTTGTGCAAGAACGGGAGGAGAATGGAGATCGTATCCGGCCAAGAGGAATAGATTGCTCTTACCGCATGAACCGTGAGGGAGAGGGATATCACCGACTGTGACGCTTGAGTTTGACAAGCGATGTGAAATGGAGGAGCTTGCGGCATGCAGAGAAGTATACTTGGATGAGATCAAGTCGAGTATCTTTTATCGCAGGTGCGTGCATACTTTGCAAGGGCAATCGTTTCGCGGGGACAGAGAAAGAAGCAAATAAAGCCGTAAGAAACATACGACGCATTCATATTTTTCATGTCTTATGCTTTTACGCTCTTGCTCCTCCCAATTATGTCACTAGTATATATAAATGTCATTATGCATTGGTCGACTACATACATTATGGCCTTGCTCATCCTTTTGCTTTTTCCCCCGTCTTGTTGATCAGAGGATGCGAGAGTCTCGTATCATCTTTGCCTTCCCCCTCCGGAGCTGAATTTCCAACCAGCTTGTCGCCAGCATGATCGCATCCTCAGCGGCCGACTCCTCGTTTGGTGCAGGTCGTGTAAGAAAATGCAAGTGGCAATCTTTGAAGACCCTCACCTTTCACACAAGGAAGAGGAGGAAGAAATGATTTAGAAGAAGACCATGTTGACGGAGCTGGACGGATTGGGCACTACATACGAGACGCAATCATGCAAAAGCGAAGTTCTAAACAGGCAAAACAAAAAACTTGATACGAATAAAAGCAGGAGTATCGATAGGCTGGATAAGGATAGCTCCAAGGGGGAAAGTGGTAGAGACTCACCATGTACGGCAAGGCCTTGTGCGAGGCAAAACCATCCATCAGGGTCAGTGCATTTTGCAATGGCGCCTGCAGTAGCAAGAAATATCGAGAGTAAGGTCCGCGGCACAAAGTGGATCTTATAATGCTGTAATAGTAGCAGTAGTACTCTATTTCTATCTGGTCCCCTCTCCTTCTCAGACCCTTCCCCTTCTTCCCCACCTCGGGATTGTCCTGCCCTGGAAAGATGACCAGAGCAGGGGTGGACTTCAGCGCTTCCGCTACCTTGGGCGCGTCATAGCCCACAGGGCACATAGCAACGACGGCATGGGTCTTGATAAAGCCTATCGGAAAAAGAAATTGTGGTAGGATGATTGGGACGGGCGTTGGTAAGTAGATAGGCGAAGATAGAATATGCACGGAAAAGTCGATCCAAGCAGAGGCGTTAGGATGAAAGCGGTAAGGAAAGCGAAGGGAGACATCCTCCAACTCACCGCTGGCCACAGCAGAGAGAGCTTGCCCGCCCCCAACACCGAAGCCAACGATGCCTATGCGCAGAAAGTGTAGAGGGGGAAGGTTTTGAGCCGCAGGGAGCCTGAGAAGAATCGCCTTCTATCCCCAAGTACACGATCCAGCAAATGAATACTTCCTAGGCGCGCCGCAAGTGGCAGAGTTTACACGAATTATTGGCGAACAATTGACGACCCCGATATAGGTACCGCGAGCAACTCTGCGAAATGAGTCCAGTTGGACAAGCAGCGAGGCCATTGACCCACCTGTCGCCGTGGCGTTGTAGTTCCTGACCAGGCTCTCCATCGCGCTCCTCGCGTCTTGTAGGAGGCGAATGGGGGGATGCTGCGGCAAGAAAAAAGAAGGAGATGTACCACTTGATATTGAGGAACAAGCAAGAAAACGACAATCTCCAACTTCATGCCCGAGGAGCGCGCGACCGAGCTTGGATGTGACACGAGTCACCTTGGAAATGAGAGTTTGAAGAGGCATCCATCCCTACCTCCACGACACTATGCCGTCAGAGCCCTGCACCCCACGTCTGCCCTCCTCCCTCCATCTCTTCCTTTCCCCCTCCCTCACCGCCGCCCGCCACGCTTCCTTGGACTGCCCCTTCTTGAAGACCTGGCCGCGGTAGAGGTCTGGGACGAAGAAGACATGGTTGCTCAGGAAGGACATGTGGTCCGCCAGCTTCCGGGTTTGGACGCTGCGCCTGGGGGCGGGGTCGAGTGGAGGGAGGGCGACGGAAGAGACGGGGTTGAGTGATGAATCGTACAGACGGTGGGGGAAACCGTTGGACTCCTTTGGAGGTCATTTCAGGGACCGAAAGCAAAGCTGTCACAGGCCCTTCTAGCCCGCTCGTTCCTCTCTCTGATTCCTCCAGTCCCCGAGCTGCGAACAGTCGTCTCCCTGCTTTTTCTTCACCCCCGCGTCCCATTTCCCGTCTTCCGTCCACGAGCCTAATCCTCCCACTACTTGCTCCCACCGTCCGCTAGACTTTTCCCCTCGCGCTTCTCCTTCCGGAAGCTCCTCCCCCAGTCTGTCCCCGTCTTACCAGCCTCGCTCATCCGCGAGCAGAAGCACCACGGGCCGCTCTTCCCGCCTCCAGAATTTCTGCGCCATCTTGGAGGAGACCAGATACCCGCGCATCTGGAGAGGGGGAAGAGGGGTGGAGGACAGCAGAGGAAGATCGGGGTTCGGGGATGTGAGGTCGCGTTTCACAACGATTGGAGGAGGTATACGGGGGGAAGACAAAAGCAGGGTGCTTACACTCGTTCCATCGGCCGCCGTCACGTCCACTTCGTCCCGGAACATGGC